TACCACATGTGTGCTTGGTGCCTGGAGTCAGGCTTCTCCTTAGAGTCCTCATTCTTAAAATGAGTTTGCACCTGACAGCTGTCTCCTCCCATTTTATACTCTTCTCTAGTGCTGGGATGAAAGGTGTGTACCACTATCGCCAGGTTTCTATGGCAAACTAGTGTGCCTACTGGGACTAAAGGTGTGTATCGCCACTGTCTGGTCTGTAAGGCTGACCAGTGGGTCTATTTTACTCTCTGATCTTCAGGCATGCTGTATTTATTAAAATACAAATGAAATATCATTATAAGAACTCTCAGCTTCTCCCCAACACCAGGTCTGCCTGGGTCCTGCCATGCTCCCACCACGCTAACGATGAACTAAACCTCTGAGAGCCCCAGCTAAACGCTTTGTTTTATGAGCTGCCTCGGTCACTGTGCCTCCTCGCAGCAACAGAACAGTAACTAAGACACACCTCCTTCTCAAACGTCAGGACTCCGGCTCACCAGACACCTCCTATCCAGTACAACACCGTGTACTCTTCCGTAGCAGAGCATCCTATAGGACAAAGAACCAGCATCACACAAGCATTTCCCATCTAACCCTGGGACCAGCCCCACTGGAAAGAAGAAAGAAAAAGGCCTGGGCTGGAGAGGTGGCCCAGTGGTTAAGAGCACTTGCTGCTCATGCAGAGGACCTGAACTCAATTGTGAGCATCCACATATTGGTGGCTCACAACCATTTGTGTCCCGGGGGAATCTGACACCCCCTGCTGGCATCAGAAACGCTGTAGTACACATATGCAGAACTGCACCAGTTTCATCCGTGCTCTACTCGCTACTCGCTATGTGCTATGGGACTAGGCTGAAAATTTAAAACCATACACAAACACACACAGAGACAGACAGACAGACGGGGCCACAGGGACATCCTTGATACAAGAACGCCCCCTTTATTGTGCTCAGGGGCAGCTTATATAGTCCATGCCTCAGCTCTTGTGTTTTCAGGTGCACACTCATCAGAACCCACTCTGCCATCAGGGTCTCGTGCTCAGAGCAGCTGCAGGCTGCTCAGAGCAAGGGAAAACAAGCTGTTTACAAGAAATTCAGGGTCTGGATGTCCTCAACCCCCAACAGGTCCCAATACACATACATACACGAAGGCAAAAAAAAAAAAACTGATACTCGTGCATAAAAATAGACAACTCAAAAGAAAAAAATTGCAATATTGAGACCTGAGGCTAGAAGCTATTCTAAATGGATTTCTGGTTGGGTCTTTCATCTTATAACAAACATCTTTATTGTATTGTACTTGGATCCTAAAGATCAGTTAAAGCCCAAGGCTTACAGTTATTAAGGAGGGGACAACCAGAATTCAGCTTCCCACTTATCACTGCATTGTCTCAGACCCATGGAATAAATCCTCAGAGGCAGTTGTGATAGTTAAAAGCCAGACTAGTCTAAACTGACTATGTTAATCCTTCAGAGTTCCCTGTAACGGCCATTCTCCCAAAGGGCAGAGGCAGACTTGACTGATGGTATAACTTATAGGGCACTAGATTACTGGTGAGATGTTGAAAAACCTCGTGAACAATGACCAGACGGTACGTGGCAATAGAACACTAAACTGCCAGCTAGGGTCACCCATCCAGGAGGTCAAAGTACAGCTTTGATAGCCATTGGCCCAGAATGATGAAGGAGTAGCCATCAACTCCCAGCTTCCCTGACTGTGTCCGGCCTCTCCAACTCAGAGCCAAGCCCAGAAAGCCGAATCTGCTTCTATCTCCCTCTGCACACACCTTTCTGCCTCCAGCTGCCAATGGCACCATGCCATGCACGCCAGAAGCTTTATGTCATTTTCACCTGGCTCTGTCCAAGTTCCCTACCTGCCTTTACCTCTCTAGCAACACAAAAAGAAGGACAGGATAGTAACTCGCTCCCTGCCCAGAGCGAGCGCTGAGAAAAGAGGTTCGCTGTTGCTTTCACTTGGGTGGTCTCATTTATTTCCAGTGGCCTACAAGCTCCACACTACATAGACTGTAACGATGCCACACTCAACCTGTGCAGCACTGCAGAGGACCACTGGGGTCCCGCAGTCCACGACGACATGGTAAGCCCCTCTAAGATCTGAATTCTCTTTACATTGGGTTCCTTAGCTATTTCTTTTTATACTTTGTTGGCTTTCTCTCCCCACCGCAAACTGCCCAGCGCTCACTGGAAGCTGTGCCCAGGGCTCCAGCTGAGCACTGTTTGAGTCATCAGCAGGCTGATGTGGGACTTTGCTGAGATGCAGCGGCCTTCCAGTCACCCGTGCTCCTGGGATGACCTCACTAAACTTACTGGTGTCTTCTTCAGTTTCTTTCTTTGAAGATTTAAAGGTTTTGTCATACAAGTCTTCCACTTGTTTGGTTAGAACTGTAACCAAACTCCATGATATTTCATGCTATTTGTGGCTATTGTGAAGGGTGATGTTTCTCTGATTTCCTTCTCAGCCCATTTATCATCTGTGTAAGGAGGGCTACTGATTTTTTTTTTCAGTTAATCTTGTATCCTGCTACATTACTGAAGGTGCTTATGAGTTGTAGAATTTCCTTGGTAGAATTTTTGGGTTCACTTATGTAAACTATCCTATCGTCAGCAAATAGTGAGAGTTTGACTTCTTCTTTTCCAATTTGCAATCCCCTTGATCTCCTTTTGTTGTCTTACTGCTCTACTTATGACCTCAAGGACTATATTGAATAGATATGGAGAGAGTGGACAACCTTGTCTTGTTCCTTATTTCAGTGGGATCTCTGGGAGTTTCTCTCGTTTTAGTTTGATGTTGGCTGTTGGCTTGCTGTATATTGCCTTTATTATGGTTAGGTATGTTCCTTGTATCCCTGCTCTCTCCAAGACCTTTATCATAAAGGGATGTTGTATTTTGTCAAAAGTTTTTTCAGCATTTAATGAGACGATCACGTGTTTTTATTTTTCTGTTTGTTATATGATGGATTACCTTGACAGATTTTCATATGTTGAACCATTCCTGCATCTCTGGAATGAACCTGACTTGATCATGGTGGATGATTTTTCTGATGTGTTCTTGGATTTGGTTTGCCAGTATTCTATTTAGTATTTTTACATCAATGTTCATGAGTGAGATTGGTCTGTAATTTTCTTTTTTAGTAATGTCTTTCTGTAGTTTGGGTATCAGGATAATTGAAGCCTCATAAAAAGAGTGTGGCAATGTTCCCTCTGTTTCTATTATGTGAAACATTTTGAGAAATATTGATGTTAGTTCTTCTTTGAAAAATCTTGTAGAATTCTGAGCTGAATACATCTTGTCCTGGGCTTTTTTGGTTGGGAGACTTTTGATGACTGTTTCTATTTCTTCAACAATTATAGGTCTATTTAATTTGCTAATCTTGTCTGATTTAGTTTTATGATATTTATCCAGAAAGCTGTCCATTTCCTTTAAGTTTTTCAATTTTGTGGAGTACAAGTTTTCAAAATATGACCTGATGAGCCTCTGTATTTCCTCCATGTCTGTTGTTACATCCGCACCACCCCTTTTCATTTCAGATTTTGTCAGTTTGGATATTCTCTCTCTGCCTTTTGGTCAGTTTGGATAAAGGTTTGTCTATTTTGTTGATTTTCTCAAAGAACCAACTCTTCGTCTCATTGATTCTTGGTATTGTTTTGTTTCTAGTTCGCTGCTCTCAATATGATTATTTCCTTCCATCTAGATCTCTTGAGTAAGTTTAATTCTTTTTGTTCTAAAGTTTTCAAATGTTCTGTTAATTCATAGTGTAGGATTTTTTCCAGCTTCTTTATGTAGGCGTTTAGTGCTATGAACTTTCCTCTTAACATTGCTTTCATTGTGTCCCATAAATTTGGGTATGTTGTATGGTTATTTTCATTAAAATTTAGGAATTCTTTAATTTCTCCCTTTATTTCTTCCTTGACCCATTGATGATTCAGGTGAGGATTGTTTAATTTCCATGTGTTTGTGGGCTTTCTGGAATTAGTGCTGCTGTTGAATTCTAGCTTTAAGCCATGGTGATTTGATAAGATACATGGGGTTATTCCAATTTTTTGTATCTGTTGAGCTTTGTTTTTATTTATTTATTTATTTATTTATTTATTTATTTATTTATTTATTATGTATACAATATTCTGTCTGTGTGCATGCCTGAAGGCCAGAAGAGGGCACCAGACTCCATTACAGATGGTTGTGGGCCACCATGTGGTTGCTGGGAATTGAACTCAGGACCTTTGGATGAGCAGGCAGTGCTCTTAACCTCTGAGCCATCTCTCCAGCCCTGAGCTTTGTTTTGTTACCGAGTATGAGGTCAGTTTTTGAGAAGGTTCCATGAGGTGCTGAGAAGAAGGTATATTCTTTTATGATTGGATGGAATATTCTATAGATGTCTGTTAAGTCCATTTGAGTCATAACATCTGTTTGTTCCCTTATTTCTCTGTTCATTTTTTGTCTGACTGACCAGTCCAGTCGTAAGAGTGGGATGTTGAAGTCTCCCACTATTAGTGTGTGGGGTTTAATGTATGATTTAAGCTTTAGTAGTGTTTCTTTTACATATGAAGGTGCCCTTGTATTTGGGGCATAGATGTTCAGTATTGAGATTTCCTCTTGATGGATTTTTCCTGTGACTAATATGAAATATCCTTCTTTGTTTCTTTTGATTGATATTAGTTTGAAGTCTATTTTGTTAGATATTAGGATAATTACACCAGCTCGTTTCTTAGGTCCATTTGATTGTAAAAAATTTTTTCCCAACCCTTTACTCTGAGGCAATGTCTGTCTTTGAGGTTGAGGTGTGTTTCTTGTATGCAGCAGAAGGATGGATTCTGTTTTTGTATCTAATCTGTTAGTCTGTGTCTTTTTATAGATGAATTGAGTCCATTTATATTAAGGAATATTAATGACCAGTGATTGCTATCTCCTGTTAATTTAGTTTTCATTGTTGATGATGTTAATTTGTGTGTTTTTCCCTTCTTTGGGATTTGCTGCTGTGAGATCATCAATTGTCTGTTTTTTTTTTTTTTTTGTTGTTGTTGATATAATTAACTTCCTTGTGTTGGAGTTTTCCTTCTAGTACTTTGTGTAGGGCTGGGCTTGTGACTAGGTATTAGTTAAATCTTGTTTTGTCATGGAATAACTTGTTTTGTCTTTCAATGGTGATTGAAAGTATTGCTGGACATAGCAGTTTGGGATGGCATCCGTGGTCTCTTAATGTCTGTATAATATTTCACCAGGACTTCTGGCTTTCATTGTCTCCATTGAGAAGTCAGGTGTAATTCTGATAGGTCTGCCTTATATGTTACTTGGCCTTTTTCCTTTGTAGCTCTTAATATTCTTTCTTTATTCTGAAAGTTTAGTGTTTTGATTATTATGTGGCAAGAGGACTTGTTTTTTTGTTTTTGTTTTGATCCAAATGTAAGCTTCTTGTATCTTTCTTTAGGTTGGGAAATTTTTCTTCTATAATTTTGTTAAATACATTTTCTGTGCTTTTGAGTAGAACTACTTCTCCTTCTATGCCAATTATTCTTAGGTTTGGTCTTTCCATGGTGTCCCATATTTCCTACATATTTTGTGTTAAGCTTTTGTTAGATTTAATGTTTTCTTTGACTGGAGTCTATTTACTCTATCGTGTCTTTAGTGCTTGAGATTCTTGCTTCCATCTCTTGTATTCTGCTGTTTATGCTTGTATTTGTGGTTCCTGATCGTTTCCTCATGGTTTCTGTTTCTATAATTCCATTAGCTTGTGTTTTCTTTATTGTCTTTATTTCAGCTTTCAAGTTTTGAATGTTTCTTTCATATGTTTGATTGCTTTTTCATGATTTTCTTTAAGGGATTTGCTGATGTCTTCCAATTTTTTGTTTGTCTTTTCCTCCATCTCTTTGAGGGAACGTCTCGTTTCCTCTTTAAGGGTCTCATTCTCCTGAAGTTATTTTTTTTAGGTTATTTTCTTCTGCTTCATCTATATTTGGTTGTTCAAGTCTTGCTGTTGTAGGGTCATTGGATTTTACTGGTATCATGTTGCTCTTTGTGGTGTTGTGTTCTTACCTTGTCTACCCTTCTTTTCCTCTAATTGGTGTAGTTGGATCTGTCTGTGACTCTGGCGATTAATCTTCCAGGTGCCGGACTCAGATGGTTGCTCCTCATGGTGCAGTCAGTGTCACAGTTCCAGTTACCCAGTTGGTCACTCCGTGTTCCTGGAAGTCACTTAGTGCTTCTAGGGTCCAGGCCCACTCTGGCCCAGGTTGCTGCCTCAGGCCTGCTCTCACCCAGGTCACTGGCTCAGTCCTGCTCCTCTCACGTCTCCTAAGTAAAGTGGAACACTATGGAAGCATGGCTTTGATCCAGGGAGAATGTTCTCTCTTCTATGCCTGTGAGGGGTACACACTGGTCGGGAGTCCAAGGCACTGATTAGGATGAGTTGTGAAGCACCAAGTGTCCCAGCATCACTGTGGACTTATTCTTACCAGTCCTCACTGCTTCATCTCAGTATAAATACTCTTTCTGCTTCCATTTAAAGGACAAGCTCCTTTCTGAATGCATTATGTCACCAAGGGTCACTTGGGCCACCAGAGGCCACACTGGGAAATACTTGGGCAGTAGTCACTGAGCAGGTTCCTAGGAGAGAAAATAAAGAAGCTTTCTTAGGTTCAGGGGGCAGTCAGTTTTTTTATTGGTAAACAGAGACTTCCAAACAAAATTTCAGCCCAGTAATTGCTTCATAAAAAAAACAGGTTAGTCCAAGCTAATTCACAATTTAACAAGCTTCAGCAACAACAAACTATACTCCCTTTCTCAACCAGCCACCCCCAAGCTTGGCCCCAGTAGCTGTGTTCATCCAGATCTCCCTCTTCTCCTTTGTCCTTCTGCTGTCTCCCTTCCTCCCTTCCCCGTCACCAACACCCCTCTTTCTCCAGCAACTCTTGTCTATCCAAAGAAGTCCATTACCTCGACCAGCCAAGTCCTTGCCCCATGCTTGCGTATCTTAGGTAACAGTGCCCCTTCAGAGCTCATGGGCGCTGCTAATCGAGCTCTAGACCCTTTCCCTGGCCTCCCAGAAGTGTGGCGCAGGCGTTTCTAGTGACTAAGAACTTTCGACACTCTGCCCTGCTTCTTAATGCCTTAGGAGATTTTCGCTGCTACTTACATTGCAATCCACCATTGCAACACTCTGAACCTGGCCCAGGGAAAGAAGAGAAACCTCGCAATTGCCTTATCTCCGCTGCAGAACTTCCCTCACCTAAAAGTATTAGAAACTGCCATAGAGACTGCTGACCTAAGCATGTTTGGTATGAATTAGCTCAAAAGTGAAGCTGGTGGCCAACGGAAGGGGCTCTATGGTCTTCATGCAAAGTCTACTGTGAGCATTGTGCTCCCTCAACCTCTGCTTTATTATACTTCTGGGGGGGTCACACAGTATTGGGTACAACTTCCCAGCCTTTGACTGACGAACTAAATCAGAACTGTGAGCCTATCTGATAGACATTACGACACTGACTTTTTGTTTTAATATATTATTAACTGCCAGGCAGTGGTGTTGCACCCCTTTAGTCCCAGTACTGAGAAGGCCGAGGCTGGTGGATCTTGGTGAAGGCCTGCCTGATCTACAGAGTTTCAAAATACCCAGGGATACATAACAAAACTCTGCCTTGGACAACTAAAAATAAGAAAAAAAGTTATTCTAACAGATAACAGGTTGCTCACAGATATCTTGAAATTCTTCTGCAGATCCACATGGATCTTGGTTTCTCCTCCTTGGACAGATCAGACTCTGCCCTTCTAACCTCATCTGCACCATACATCCTCTCCAGGACCAGTAGTTTGTCCTCCTGGGCTCCCAGATTTTCTGACGACACTTAATTTCCTGTTAGTCACAACCAGGAAAGGATATTAGCATTACAGTCTGTATTCCAGTTCAGCTTGGACCTTGTGTAAATCCCATTGATTTTCTAGCCTGTGGAGCCGAGACTGAATCTGGGTGAGACACCACGATGTGGGACTCACATCAGAAATAATACAGAAATTCTGCTATCATTCAGCCGCCTCACTGAGCCTGGCCCGAGAGTTGTGACTTACTCCCAGGCCAGGCCTGGAGAGATACTTTCCATTTGCAGCACTGGCAAGCGAACCCCATCACTGACTACAGAAACACCACTGTAGCACTTGAAATTAATCTCTGTGACTTCCTGGATTATTAATAGTCTCATAATGATGCTACTTGTGATAATGGCCACTCAATAGCTGTCAGTAGTTCATGAATCTTCCACACTTGTCTACTATCCACAGCCATGTGGAATTGTCAAACATAGGAACAGCCTCTTTCTCCCTTTGTCCTGGACCAGAACCCTCAGCAATCACTTTGATCAATAAATGTGGCTATTCCTATAGAGACCTCCTCTCAGCCTTGCTTGAATAATCACCGTGACTGAAGGGGCAGGGAATTGCTTAGGCCTATGAGGAAGATCAGTGTTTCTGGGCACTCCTAGGCAGGATGTTTCTATCTTTTCCTAAATGAGAATCTGTTCTGGATGTTTTTTTACAAACTCTAAAAGGCAGCTTAGCTTAAAGGAAACCTAGACTATTAGTAAAGTGTGTTTGGGCCACCTGGATTTTCCTGTTGGCTTGCTACATCCCAGAGAGAAGGACAGTGATTCCTACTTTGAATATACTTCTCACATTTTCAAGTATAAGACACACTGGTCAAATACAAAGCACAATTGATCTCCTGTAAAAATAAGTTTGTCTCTCTTGTTCTTGACCCTTCTGGGTACAGGCAGAAGATGGCTGGAAGCAAGGAGAATCCATAGTTCCCATAATGGGACACAACTAATTTTCAGGCAGTAGAGTGGTCTTCCCTTGGAGAAACACATCCTCACTCAAAGCTCCCTTGGACACCACTGGTGCCTTTGATTTGACTGTGAGCCACCGACCCCCACCAGACATCTCCGCCCATAGTTCACTCACAGTTCCCTTGGGCCCACCAGAATGCCTTTTGGAGCTACAGGGAACGGTCTCTGTGTCCATAACTCCCAGGCAATACACCTGCCTGGATGCTTTCGCCACTTCTCTGACTATAGTATCAGATGAGCTGGGCATGGCAGCACACTTGTAATCTCAGAGTCAAGAGGTTAAGGCAGAGGGATCATGAGTTTGAGACCAGCCTGTGCTACACAGGGAATTCCTCTGGAGACAGATGACTGCCTGGCTGGTTGGAAGAACAGACAGGATAATGCTACGTCTACTGCTCTACACAGTCCCTTGAAAATAAGATTTCGACTTGGTCAAACTGAACCAGGGACCCAAGAATACCAACTATTGGGAGGTCACATGGATTTATTGCCAACCTGTCCCCCCTGGTTGATGCTGATTCCACTTGGGGACCTCAAAAATTATTAGCAGCGCAATACTTACCACGTGGAAGTGTATCTTATAAGGCTGTAGATATGCCTGCCTATTTCTTCTGAGGACATTTTGTCTTCCAAGAATATTCATAATACGATCATCCTAGAAAAGATAGTCTAGAACAAGGATGGCCTGGAATGACACTAACTTTCTTCTCTCGCCTACAGCTGTCGACATAAGAAGATCTCTAAGCATTTAAGGCAACACTATCCAGAGTTTTGTAGCCTTCAGCACTGGCAAACTCCCCCAAATGATACTTTAACGCTTCAGGAAATTTCCAGGGGATTTCCAGATGTGATCATAGCAAAGCACAAGCCAGAGAAAGTTTTCTTATGATTAAAAATGTAATTCCGAGGGGGCTGGAGAGATGGCTCAGAGGTTAAGAGCATTGCCTGCTCTTCCAAAGGACCTGAGTTCAATTCCCAGCAACCACATGGTGGCTCACAACCATCTGTAATGAGGTCTGGTGCCCTCTTCTGGCCTGCACCACAGACAGAATAAATAAATAAATAAATATTTGAAAAAAAAATGTAATTCCGAGGGCTAGGGAGACGGTTCTGTTGCTAAAGCACTTTCTGCACAAGCAATGGGACCCGAGTTTGAAGCACCCACATCAAAAGCTGGTCACAACAGCATGAACCTGTAAGCCCAGCACTGGGGGGCAGAAATGCAAGGATGCTGGGTGGGGCTTGTTGGCTAGCCTTTCTAGCTGACCTGGAAGGCTTTGGGTTCCATGGGAGAGCCTGTCTCACTTAAAAGTAAGATGGAGAAAGCTTGAAGAAGGCACCTGGCAAGATGGCCCTCCGACCTTCACATTTGCGTCTAAGTGCACAAGCAAATTGAACACATACATACATGCACACACACACACACACAGAAGGTAATTAAAATTTTCCATTTTAGCCACAATGACTAGTGACGCCACCTTAGCTTTCAGATTCCGTTCAGAACATCTCTGCCGACTAGCGGGGGTTGTCACGGGCAACTGAAGTGTCCTGGAAATCTTCCTCACCGTCTGTGCAATCCTAAACACCTAATCCTACAACACATGGGTTACTTGGGCCAACTGGGAAGTCAGTGGAGACACCTTAAATCTGTCTGGCTCCCTGATAGTTTCAAGGATTTGCTCAGTCAGATGGATTCACAACTTCCAGAAACACGGTTGTGCTCGGTACCGTGGGTTAACCTCATCCTGCTGCACTTGGAGTCCCCAAAATAATATCCCAATTAATCTATAAGAGACAGATGGGCTTCCTCCCAGGAACTGTGGGCCATGTCCATCAGAGTGGCAACAGAGTGACATGCTCACAGGGAATTCTCCTGGGGTCTTGTGTCGTGACAGAATTTTGGATCATTCTCACCCAGAGTATCTCTTCAAGGATGACTGTATGAACACTCCTGGAAAACATAGACAGTGCGTTTCTACCAAGAAGAGGACAGTTCTGCTTATAGACATTACAAGACAGTGTTTTCTCCCAAGGCAAAAGTTAGGCAGATTTACTAAAAAGATTGGGGCCCTCAGGACATCAGGTTTCCTGCCCTAGAATGCCACCACCGAATATGCAGCCCTGTTTACATCACTTAATAGGCACTGGGACTCAAGCGACTGTTGGGGGAAGAAAAGCGAAACAAAATACATCAATGCTATGACTGCACTTCTGTGTGCTAAATAAAGTCCATGCTCTCTGATCTGAAAGAGCTGTGACAATAAGCTGTGGGCCCACAGCAGGTCAGTGTGTTAGCTTACAAGGAAAATAGAGTCTCGGGGCCTTCATTTAACTTTATTTGTCATCTCCATAGTTATTACTGTGTACGCACATGCGTGTGCACGTGCGTGTGTATGTGTGTGTAGTGAATAGAGACGCACATGAACTGCGGCATATATGCAGATCTGAGGACGCCGACAAGAGTCACTTCTCTCCTCCCCTGGGTTCCAGAGTTTGCGCTCAGGGCTCCAAGCCTGCCTGGCAGCACCTTTACCTGCGGAGCTCTTTTGCTGACCCGTCAATGCTTTCACGGTTCTCAACCATTATTTGTTAAAATTCTGGGTTTACTTTCATTGGGCTCAATAATGATTGTCAAAGAGAATGCCAAACGCTTGTCAAAGGGCTCTCTTTCTCATGGAGCTAGAGGAACGAGCAGGGCGCCCAAGTGGAGACACCTGGAAAGCTACAAGTAGCAATGCTTGGCATATGGAGAGTATTTAGAAGCTGGGA